AAATAAAGAAGAAATATAAAAAAAAAATCATATAAAAGAATAGAGGATCAACAAGAAAGAATACTTCTTATTCTATTCAAGTGTGTTCAATACATTATACATGGCCTTTATTTATAGGCACAGTTTTGCACCTTCGATAGAATCTACATATTACATAATAATATGAGATAATTCTGTGATATAGAGATAATGGGAGATATTAGAGATTATAGGAGATATAAGAGATAATAAGAGATATATGGACATTCAAAAAAATATTATTATATTCATAACAATGACAACATATTTTTATAGTATTTGGGATTTTAAAACTTTGGAGCTTTTTTTAAGATTTTCGCAATAAACAATGCGGACTGAAATAAAAGATTTTTGTACAAACAAACAGGTGATTGATTAAACCATCAAACCTCTCACCTTCCTTCTGAAGTTCTGATCAAGCCAATGCCTCTTGGCTTCGCCTTCCTCAACGACACTGGATTTGTAGTTTGGACTGTAAGTGCAACAAGAGCGACCGAGACTGCAGGGAGGTGGAGGAGACGAGGCGACGACAAGTGAGTGACGGATGGGATGAGCCGACGAGCTTGAGAGGGAGATTGGATTTGAGAGATGAGTGAAAGGGACCAGGTTTCAAGTGGGAGTAGGAGGAAGATGAGATGGGATGAGATACCCTCGTGGTCGACCAGCGGAGGATGAAAAATGAAGAGGGAGCCTCCAAACGTTGCGTTGTAGAGTTTTTACATTTTAGGAAATTAACCAAAAAAAAAAAAAGAAAAAGAAAATGGGCAGCCTTTGGGTTAGGTTAAGCGAGTGCACGTAAAAAATCTCATATCAAAATGGTCTCGTTGGTGGCGCACTAGCATGGCAGCCACCTGTTGGTGGCCTTGAACAGGGTTTGATCACTGCCCGCAAGTTCTGCTTGCCTATTCCAAAAAAAAAAAAAAAGATTAAAGTATATATTTGGCTTTTTAATTTCATGTAAGGTTTTATTTTAGTTTCTTAATTAACTTTAAAAAATATACTTTTAGTTCTTTAATATCAAAATTATCAGTTTTAAATGATGATTTTTTGTAACAATCATGGTTATTTTAAATATTAAACTTAATATGTTAGTATTTAGTAATTTTATCTTCATTCAAGAGTTTAATATAATTATTTGTTATTAACAGTTTTAGGGTTAGAGAACTAAAAGTTTACTTTTTAAAATTAAGGGACAAAAATAAAATCTTAGATAAAATTAAAAGACTAAAAGTATACTTTAGTCAAAATAATAAATGGTTTCAATTTTATCCGGTTCGTCACCCAACTCATGTTAATTCTATGCCAAGCCTCAAACTTTGGAAACGAAAAGCATTAGTGCAGATCGCTTGTATACTATAAAACAAGTCTTCTATTTTTTATTTAAGACAGGAGGAATATAATTTAATTAAAATATATAAAAATATTCATGTATAATTTTAAGAAGAATAATATTTAAATAAAAAATATATTAATTCATAGGTAAATAGAATATTCATATATAAATCACACAATTCAGGAAAAAAATATTAATACACAAATATAATAAACTAATATTTTTTTAAAATTTAAAATGATGTCCTTTTAAGCTCAACAATAAAAGAAGAAAATATTTAAAATCGAGAGTTATATTAGATGAAAATTGTATTAATAGCATGTAAATTTAACTTAGACTGTACGGTCTAAGTTAGTCCGCAAAACTATATTGAAGAATCGCGCCCAAAAACACAAGGAGTTGTTGTTGGGAAGATGATGCAAGGCAATCAATGGAGGAAGTATTTGTTTAGGACCTTTTGTGTTTTTTGGGGTGGGGGGAGGGGGAGGGGGAGGGATATTTCCTTGGCAGAATAGTTGTCTCCTGTTGTTTTGCTTTATTTTATATTCCATAGATAAAGAACTTAATTTCTTTTTTTTCCTGACAACAAAATAAAATAAGAAAAATTTATGAAGCCTTCAAGAAAAATTTATAAAGTAATTTAATAACTTTATTAATATATCTTTATAAATTAGTTAATTAGTTTTTATATCATTACAAAAAAATAACCTTCATGTTATAGCTAAAAGTATAAACATCACTGCAGAAAAGTCGTTGCTATAGCGGTTATAGCTAACAAGTTTTAATGGTGACATTAAAAAACATTTTCAACGGTGACTTTTATAAGTTTCAATGGCAACATTAAAAGACAATTTATTGCCGCTGAAAGACACTTTTGGTGATAATATCTGGTAAAAATTTCAAACATCATTACTATCGGCAGCCTGCCATATCATTGATACATCATCACCCAAATATTTTCAGCTTAAAAGATTTGAACTCATTACCACATCCATTTATGTCTAATCTTCTTGCCATTAAACTGAATTGAATTTGCTAATTGTTATTATTACAAAATAATATATATTTATATATACTCTTATAAAGAGTTGCCTCTGAAAGTCATTATTGAAAAAAAATTTTTGATGGTGTATTAAGGACCGGAGGTAGTACAACCATTAGAGCATGAAAATTATAGCGTGATAAATTTACCTTTACAATATTGATTATTGCATATAATTAATGTTAGTTATATGCTTGTTTTATTAGTTTGAATGAGTTGAAGTAATTAAACACATTATACACACATATATCAGAACAACAATAATATAACGTCACAATAGACACGCATGATAATGCAAATCTATAATAGGCTATGAAAGATATCAAATAATTAAATGCTCAAACTATCTAGAGAAGTAAGACGTGATTAGATCACACTTATTATTAATGATGTCATTAAAATTGATTTATATTGCAATGTATTGATTGATTTATGACTCATTGGATGAAGATATATTCTTCTTGCCATTTTACTATAATTTTCTTCTAGATCCATGTCGACCAAAAAAGTTTTAAAATTGTCAATCCATATGTGTACCAGAGACTCCAAATGTGTGTGTGTGTGATATGAAAACTTTTAACAAATTACACTATTTATTATCTATGAACAATGGAGAATTATTGGTCTTTTTTTTGGCCTGGGAGAATTATTCTTAACACTAGCATGAAGAGTTAAAGAGCCAAAACTTTTTTGACATTTCATCACAAAGCGTGTTAATTCACCTTGCGCTTAACGTGTTAGCACTCATTGGAAAACTTTGATAATGTGTCTTTTTGTGTTTTCAACGATTATAATTTTGTTTATAATAATTAGTTTTTTTAAGAAAATCTAGAAGTTCTTAACATAAGACATTGTTTGATTTTTATTTTGGTTCTAAATATAATACCCCAATTTGTTTTGTCTCTTATATTTATCTATTTTTTCCAAGATAAGCCTTCTAATAATGATAGTTTTAGCTAATAAATTTAATTAATAAGAATATTTTAGAAAAGACAACACCTATTTATTACAAATAACTAACTTAACTTATTTCTTTAATCCACTGAAATTAGTCAACTAGCTATTATATTTAGGACCGGAACTAGTATTACCAATCAACCGTATTAATGTCTTAGCATCCATTGTTGCATTTATTTATGCATTAAAATCTTTCTTTAATTGCTGTGTTTTAAGCTTCAAAGTTTGTATCTACCTATTTAGTGAGTGTATAATTAATTATTCAATTCTTTTCTTCTTCATAAGAATAATAGTCAATCCGTAAGGGTTGAAAAGAGAGATCAATGCTAGTTCAATCTTGTATTGTATTATATTTACAAATTACCTAGTTTTAAAAACCTGCAAGATTATAGTAAAATTCTCAAATTATTCACTTGAGAATCAAATCCGCTTCAAATGGCTAGGTTGAACTAATATTAATCTTCTTTGTCTTATTCTCCTTCGTTTTCTCCTTATCTTATTTCGAAGCTTAATTTTGCTATTGTTTTTATTGTTACCTTGAATTTGGATTAAGAATTTTTTAAAAATAAAATTAAGAGACATCCAAATCACCCCTCTTGGATGTCAGTTTTATATATACATGTGCTCCTTCACACTTATAAACAAATTACTATAAATAAGGGAAAATCAATATTTATATCCCTTTCTGTACATGAAAAAAGAGGGGGATATATACATATAATTAGTCCTACATGTTAAGAGGAACCATGGAAACAAAATCCTCACCGATCAAGGTCAATTCTGTCTTTTCAACCCTGGCAGTGAGAAAAGTTTTTTTTTTTTTTTTCTATTTTAAAAGCAAAAAAAAGCAGAAGAAAACAAAGAAAGGCAACGAGAAGAATGTGAGAGGATGACCTGTCAAGCTGCATGTGGATGCCTTCCCTGAACAGTATACTTCTCATTTTGCCTTTCATCACATTTTCTGTGTTTCTCTTTACCAAATGTAACATTTATTGAAACACATTTTTTTAAAAAAAAATTCTTCATTTTTCAATATTTTTGCAATTAATGAAATATAAGTGTATCCATATCCATTTGTTTACCTACCAACCCCTACTTCCTCTAAAATGACCACTCCAGTTTTTATTTATTACAGCTTCATTTTTCAAGCAACATTCCATCAAAACTACTAGAATTATAAGTAATAAATAAATAAATAGTTAAGTACTCTATCTTAACAAAAAATATTTTAAATATTGTTAAATTTGACTAAATAAAAATGGATAGAGGAAAGCTACAACAATTAACATTTAATATTATTATTCACATGTTTTTATGGAAAAATTGATACTAAAAAAAGTTTCAAAATTTCATTAGCAAGAAAGATTTAAATTATAATATCAGTACTTTTTGTGTATGAAATCATAGAAAGTATCGATACTTATAATGTATAAAAACAAATCTAGTTGGACCAAATTTTTATTTCTTTCCCTACGTACCCCTCCTCCCCCCCCCCCTCTCTCTCTCTTTCTCTCACATAAATTCGCTTCTCATCCTTTCTCCTGAGTCTGTCACACACAGTCTGAGAATAGAGCAAGACAGGTCAATCAAAATCCCAAGCAGATTCAAATTGCTAAACTCATCATCACCATTATCTTTTCTCTCTCCCAAATGGAACTATCAGAACCCAGACCCAGTCATCCCAACCACCAGCGTCATCAGCAGCAGCCGCCGCAAAATCAGTTACAGTTAGCTTCGTCCCAGGTTGCAGTCCCTCTCGATGGCGGACGAAGAGGAGGAGGAGGTCCCTCGTATTTCATCAACATGGGCCCCACCTCCATCCAGGCTGGCCTCTTTGCTGGTGTCGCAACAACTCCTCCTCTGTCACCATCATCATCTTCTTCTTCTTCGTCATCGTCGTCTTCTTCAGCTCTGGTTCCTCTGGTTGATGCGCCGCCGCTTCGCATCTTCCCTGGACCTGATTCGGCCAGGAGACAACAAGAAGTTCACCAGCAACAATTGTCACTTTCTACAGCGACGGCGGTGGCGAGAGATATAGCTGCGGCGAGCCTGCCGAAAGCCAAGGACAGACACATCAAGGTGGATGGTCGTGGCCGGAGAATTAGAATACCAGCAGGTTGTGCGGCTAGGGTTTTTCAATTAACCAAAGAGCTGGGTCTTAGGTCCGACGGAGAGACGATCGAGTGGCTTCTGCAACAGGCGGAGCCTGCAATCATCGCCGCCACTGGCACCGGCACGAGGGCGGCGAACTTCTCATCAACACTCAACATTTCGCATTGGAACAATGGTGGTTCTTCCACCTTCTTGGCTCCGCCGTCGTCCGCTTCTCATACATTTCATGGAGTTCTGGCTCCGTCGTCTGCTCATCATCATCAACCTTACGAAGATCCGTTCCCGCATTCTACTTTGTTAGGGTTACAGCCTCAGCCACACCCTCAGCAACAAGAGTATCGGCTTCATCATCTATTGCCTGCTGCTCAAATTTCAGAAGGGCTACCTAGTGCTGCCAGCGGATTACCGACTGAGACTTATATGAGAAAACGTTTCCGAGAAGATTTATTCAAAGACGTTAATAAAAAACAAAGCCAATGCGTAGGCAGTGAGAATTCATCTGTGACATTCAATAGTGACTTGCAATTGCAGAAACAATCACAACAGATACTGCAAAAAGCTGGAACTTCGAGTTTGAACGTCCTTCGTCCGCCTACCAATTTCCTCCCCACCACTCCCATGTGGGCGGCTGCCAGTGGCGGCGGAGGAGCTGTCGGTAGCACATTTTGGACGCTAACCTCGGGGAGTGGAGGTACAGGTGTCGCCGCTGCAGAAAGCGGTGGTTCTGGGAGATTCCTGACGGCACAGACTGCTGGTGGCGGCGGTGGCCATGGTGGAAGCATGAATAATCAGTTTCAAAGCTCGCTGCAATTCATGCCCACATTGAATTCCTCCCATGTAGGAGGTCTGCAACTGGCACCAGCGACGTCTTTTTTGCTGCCTAATCAGTCCAACATGGCTCCATTAAATGCGTTTCCCAGTGCTGTTGAAAATGTGAATATTCCAAACCTTGATCATCATCATGGTCATCTTCAAGCTGATGATAATTAATGCAGGAGGAGGTCGATCGCAGTAACAGTTACTGAGATGAATATCAGTTCCTAGGAGATTCAGAAAGCTGCTAGCTAGCTTTTTCATGGTCTGTTTCTGTGTTTTGGTTACCTTTTATGATTCTGTATATACCCAGATATCTCAGTTCGTTGGGATTTTCTTTTCTTTTTGTTTTGTTTTCCTCTTCTCTTTTACCTGTTGATGCTTGGGAATTGAATTTGAGAAATCTGGGACGAGGGTCTAATGTTTCTTTTTTGTTTTTTTTGTTTTTTGGGTCTTTTTCGTTTCTCCCTTTTTGATGTGGTAGTTGATCGTCATTTCTGCAATATGTTCAGACAAAAAAAGAAAAAGAAAAAATTTTGCAGATTGGTTAGAAGGAACCAATTTCAAAGTGATGAGTATGCTCTGTGCTCTCTGGTTTTTTTTTTTTTTTTTTTTTTAAAGGAGGATTTATGCTCTGTGATTTTCTGCGTTTGATTTAAAGGTCAAAGCAGAACTGATATGGTAAGGTGGCAGAGATCTATTTTTCTTTTTGTTTTTTTTTTCCATAGGAGGAAATTTCTGTTTTGGTATTGGTATTTTTTCTCGTTTTGTGTGTCAATATGTGAGATTTTTTATTTTGAGAAAGTATTATTTGTAGTGAAAAAAGCGGATAGCCTCTTTGTGTGGAAATGTATCCCGGTTCTTCCATTTGATGTGTTAATCTTATTTATTTTTTCCCCTTTAAAAGTATTACTCCCTTTGCCCATACATTTAAGAGTCAAAGAATTTTGCTTTGATATGTACAAGGTCTTAGGATTTCTTATCTCTAAAACTTATAATTTTTTCTTAAACTGTTTTTGTTGATAGAGCACTTCGGATGCAAATAATTAAAAATGAGTATTTTATGTAGAACAAAACATATTTGTTCTTAAGGTGAATAGCCTCTCTGTCTAGATATATATCCTATTTCATCAATTTAATGTTAATCTTGCTTTTTGAACCTTTAAATTAAGTATTACGCCCTTTGCCTTTTAATAGTTAGTATAAAATTTTGTTTCAATTTTAAACGTAAGATTTCAACATCTATCTATGTATTGCATATGTTAAGAGTTGTTGTTGTTGTTATTATTATTGAAATGGTTTTCAATGCAAAATTGCAAATCATTACAATAACACATACTTTTTTTTTTTAATAAATAACTAATTTAATTATTTTTAATCTGTGCAAATTAACTTATATTTGGAAGTCTAGTGAACAGTTTTTTAATGACCACAGGGGATGCAGGCAACAATTTAAGTTTTCTCTTCACATTTCCTAATAAATTTTAGATTATAAAAATGAATATGACAAGGACTACATTGGACGTAAAACAAAATGGCACTGCTTTGACTTTGTTCCTGTTTGTTTGAATGCTGATATTCAGTAACTTTTGTTATTGAATCTTTGATATTTAAATTAAACAAGTTCGACTTTATAAATATGTATGTAATTTTTTCAAAATTTATGATAAAGATTATTTTTATTTTTATTTTTTTTAATTTAAATACACTATATTTAATTATATATAGGAGGAATTATCTATAATATTAAATGATATAAATTCACTGTGTCGCAACAACATTATTCTAATAATGCTGGCGTAAATAATACTCCCTCCTAGAAAAATTTCAAATAACTAATTTACGAATAACATACAATTAGTTAAAATTAGTTAATAGCAATAAATATGTTAAAAATATAATTTTGCTTCTAAATATACATTTATAATAAATAAGAAAAAGAATAAAAGAGAATATGTGAGGAAACGTAATTAAAAAAAAGCATGACATATAAGAGAGAATAAATAATTAAGGGTAAAATTAGAAAAAATGCACTCAATATTAAGATAAATCCAAATTGAATAACAGCCCTCCAAAAATTTGAAGCTTATACTATCTTCGGTCTTAATTATAAAACATCATTTATAGATTACAAACGAAGTCTTATAATTAGTACTGAAAGTAGTATATAGGAGCAGAGAGAGTAACAAACAAACTAAATCACACAAAATATGATGGATATGCACTTCCAATGTTATATACTACTATCGGTCCTTAATATAAGAGCTAGCTGATTAATTTGAGTAGATTGAGAAAATTAATTAAGTTAATTATTTGTAATAAATATTATTGTCTTCTCTAAAATACCTTTACTAATTATATGTATTAGTTAGAACTATCATTTGATAAAACTTTTAACACATGCAACTACTACAAAAACTACTTTAAGAAAAATGAATACATATGAGAAAAATAGGATTGAAGTTTTATATTTAAAATCAAATTAGCTTTTATATTAAGCATAAGAAGTAGTATATTTGTTTTACAATAGCCATTCACAAAAATAAGTTTCTCCCACAAAATCTAGAATGGTTATTTCCTTCATACCAAAATTGTAGTTTTAATTCGGTATTATTTATGATAATCATTCTATTGGATAGGCGATTCTAGGACGACATCTTGTTTTTTCTCCTGAAGTGAGGCAACATCGAGTACAGATTATTATTTTTATTTACATTTTATCAGTTTATTTATTTTAATTTCTCGCGGTGTGAGTATATATATGGCGTGTATTGCTTATGATGCCTAGTAAATCCACAATGAGATACCACAATATGTAACTAATGCATAATCAGATAAAACTGAACTTTCATCAACTTCATAAGAAAAATCACTTTTATATTAGTTAAAAAACAAGTTCAAAGCACATCCACATACTTGTCTTTATCCTTGTACCACCAAATTGCTAAACGGCTAAACCCAGCTATTCTTTTAAGATACCTTAAGTAATGAATGCATTATTAACTTTAATTCTTATGAGATTTTCCAAGTGTTTTAAGTAAAATATCATGAATGTTTATTGATTCACTTAAATTATAAAACATGATCATGTTAGCTAAGATTTTAATTGCACAAAGTAGATGCAAATAAATGCACTTTACTGTTTTTGGAGTGTTCGCTTCCAGAAGAAAAAAAATTCAGATTAAAAACTTCGGAGAAACTCGTTCAATATAGCGTTTTTTGTTTTCAAATCATTACAATGTTAAACAAATTTTTAATAAATGTTAATTCTAGCTATCCATTTAGTTGTTCTTGTTAACTAAATGCAGAATAAACAAAAATATTTGATTTTTTTTTTGAATATTTTATAATATTTTTTTCCTCAAAATATCCCTATTAATTGTAAAGGGTTTCCACCAAAGAGTAGTTCTAATATACATACATGGAATAAGATAATTGAGAGAAGTCAACATATATTTGTTATAAATAATCAATTTAACTAATTTTTCTAATCTCTTACAAATTAGTTATCTTGTACTTGTATATGTTTGAAAAGGTGTGCAAGTTGCGAGGGTTGGTCTCCGAATAATTTTCAATTGACACTGCCAATCTGCAGATGATATATATTCGTTCATGCATGTTCTTGGGTATTATTCAGGTGGGCGTTCATGTATTTGGTTTGTCTCTTGATTATTACTCTTCCGATTGTTAAGACCTAATTGTAGATTTAATCTTGGTTCTAAATGTAAGATCTATTTTTTATATTTATCAATTTTTCTCAAATCACCTTATTGATATTCCTTCAATCGTAATCAAACAAGAGAGTGAGAGAAGATATTAAAAAAGATAATTATAGTATTTTAGAAAAAACATGTCATATTTATTATAATTAACTAATTTATTTAACTTTCTTAATCTAATCAATTAGTTAAATAAATCTTACATTAAAGACTAGAGGAGTATTATTATTCTTCTGAGACATCTTCTTATATACTCTCTCCATTATTTTATTATAAGAGATAATTGTGAAGTATGTCATGTTCCTTTTTATAAGAGGCATTTAGAGCTTGTCTCAAACTTTATTTGTTGATTTCTCATTCTACCCCAATTTAATTACTTATATTGTCATTACATTTAATTCCCACATATTATCTCTCTTCCATATAAATGATGTTATTTTTGGCAAAAAAAATTAATCCTTCCGTCCCTTATTATAAGATCCATTTTTTTAAATTGATTTGTCCTTTTTATAAATTCTTTTTGAGTTTGTCTGAACATTTAATGCATTATTACTTATTTTACCCCTAGTTTAATGTACTTAATACATTCTCTTTATTTATTTATTTCATTATTACTCTTTCACATCTGTCCATTTGTATATAGGGGTATGTTTGAAAAAATATATATTTACTACATATTAATTGCTTTTAATTAATTCTAATTGTTTTCTTAAACCGTGTAATTTAGTTAAAAAGACTTTATAATAAGGGACAGAGTAGTATACTTTTTACACATTTATTGTTTTAACTAATTTTACTTAACATTTTAAACAAAATAATTTGGTTAATTGTCTCTATTAAAAAGAAAACGGATTGAGTATCTTGCAAGATTTTTGGATGTTTTCCTACTATTTGACTATCTCTGTGTGTGTGTGTGTGTGTGTGTGTGTGTGTGTGTGTGTGTGTGTGTGTGTGAGTGAGTGAGTGTGAGCGAGCATATGCGCGGGCAGGGGCACTAAACGCCCTTCTTGTGGATCGTGATTCCAAGTGCTGTTGCCAATTTCAAAACCAGTAATATTGAGTTGGATAATAGTAGTGACTCTTAATGAATGCTTAAATATAATGCTTCTCATAATTTTTGTTGAGAAGCTACTAAAAGATTATAATAGTAGTAATAAATTTGTAAATCACTTTTCTTATTGAATGAATACCGATTGATAGTACGTCAAAAGAAAAAAAGACTACAATATGCTTGAAAAGATATCCCGTTTACATCTCAATATCTCATTCCTTAACTTGGTAACAAAGCTGAAGTTCGGTTTTCCCAATGATAGATATTAAATAGCCAATATATATACATATATATACTTCTCTGGTCCTATTTATAAGACAGAGAGAAGATATTTTTTGGTCCTATTTATAGAGCACTAAGAAATTGTGTATAGATGTACAATTTTACCCTTCATTTATTATTGTATT